ATCCCTAACGTTCTGTGATTCTGTGTAAATAAACACTTGGACAGAGTCAATGCATGTGATAAACCAGATGCATGAGTGGAGGCCGCAGATCACTGACCTCAAACTAAATCCCTCTACATCATGGCAATAACTAAAACATAGAAAAGTAATGAATGAAGAAAAAAAAAAATAAGAGCAATCTGCCCCAAGTTCTGCAGTGTTTTACTGCGTTGCCCCAGGGACAACAGTGGATTAGTGGCAAGTGGGACTCAGCATCTGCACCCCTAAAGAAATTCCTAGCTAAACTATGAAAACAGACCACTGAAGAGGACATTTCAGACTCCTTGTCCGCTGTCTCTGTGCATGCATGTGTGCTGAGGACCGTGTGCCCTGCCTTTTTTCTTACTGTGATCCCATTGCACACTGGTCAGTTGAATATAGACCAGCACAAAGAACTTAGCTTTAGGACAAGACTCTTACACCCATTCCTAGAATTTTGCAGGTTTATTTTAACACGAGAAGTTGAATTTAAAAAATAACCAATATTTCATACACCTTTCACGGTTACCCTAACTACTAAAGGCTACAAAAGAAAAAACTACATTATGAGTACTACACTAGTGAAAAAGTTCTGACCTTCCTCCACTGAATTTAATTACTTGGAGAAAAACTCTTTAGTTTCCAGTGTAGCTTTTTTGTGGCACAAAATGGAATGGCATTTATAGTTGGGGGTCCCAAAATATTTGGGAGGTCCCCTTAATGGATGTCATCAGGCAGGTTGGGACTGTCTCAGAGGGCATTTATAATGGAGTATTTATATTACTAAGAGAAGTAATGTGATATTGCTTTATTCATGCTCAAGTGGCACTCATGGAACTGGCCAAATCTGAGGCAATCTGAGAGGCTGCTACACCCAGCCAGGACCACCCATACAGCACAAGCAAGAGGAAAAGCTCCAACTCCCATTTCCAGGCCTCCAGGGTTTAAGGCGTTTGTGTTCCCACTCCATTGCTCCCCAGGGGCCCACCTGGTAACATAGTGCCCCTTCCTGCTCCTACAGCAGCTTCCTTCTGATTGCGGGGTAAAAGAAGTGCAAGAGGAGGCAGCTGGCATCTGACATGTTTGGTTTCGTGCCTTTCTGGCTACTGAGACTCTGGCCAACTTGAAATCTCTCTCACAGACCTTGCTGCCTGAGGACTGAATATTTCTCCCAGTCTTGGAGCACAGAGAAGAGGCTCTCTAGCCACCAGAGACTAATCAGCTGGTCCTGTGCTCAATTAAGAAATAAATATCTGTCTTTCTGAATCATATACAAAAGCTTTGGAGCCAGTTAAATGACCTGTGGATCCCATTTGGCATTTCCAGATTTAGCAGCAGGAGAAGTAATGGGGACGAAGATGCCCAGAGCTGAAGTAAGATCACAGAATGCCCCAGTGACTTAACAAATTAGCACGCAGCATGAAAGTGGTGTGAAAACTATGAAGCCAAAAGGAAAGACTTCTGAAAGCCATGCTAAAATGCCTGTGGGGAAAAGAGGGTGTAGAGGGAAGGCGGGAAAGACAGCTAGAGGTTAAGATCTTCCAAGTACTAAAATAGCCTCATGAAATAAAACAAACTCTGCTTACAGTGCTGAAGAAATAAGCATACAAACAGAATCAAAAAAAACAAACAAATGCCTCACAAGACAATGAAATAAATTCCTTGATGTAGGCATGGCAAGAAGAAAAGCAGCTTACCAATAGCGAACAGGACTGGATAGACTCTCCCTCAAGAAAAACAATTTCATTCTGAGATCATTTCCACCTATGACTTTGCTTCACATTCATCTGAGAAACAAACTCTAAACCAAAGTACTCAAACAGTAAAATAAAATGAAACCAAAATCAACACTGTCCTGGATGTTGGCTTTATCATGTTTTGTTCTGCTACTCTCAACAGCAGTGAGTAGGTACTTCCCTCAGTCAGAGGTTCCCAGCACAGCCAGCTGGAACACTGTAGAGCTCCAACAAGTACACACTGGGATGCTATCCAGAAATTTTCCTAAAGGATTAGTTAATGTTTTGTAGCCTACTCTAACATGTCAAACCAAAGAGTAGTTCAAGCCAAGGGTAGCCAAATCTGACCTAAAACCAAGCTGTGTTTTCTCACATATACATTCCTTGCCCTTTAGTTTTTGCCTGTCCAAAGCCATGTAGATAATTATATGGAGACAAATCACTTGTGAAAAGTCCCACTCCCGTTTTTTTCTTTCTTAAGAAGAAGGGGGAAACACATTCCACCTGAATGTAGTACTAGGTAGACAACAGAACAACATTCAAGAACATTTCTCCTTGATTGTGTCACCTGAACTGCTCAAAGTTCTTATTAAGCCATACAAATGTTGCTATTCAGTCCCGCCTACATGAGAGCAAATGGTGCTAGAACATGAGAAAACTGCATATGGAGTCTTTTTTCACTCACACCAATCGGGACAGGGGGCAGTGGGGTCAGGGAGGTGGTACATGTCAGAATCCAAGACAGCTCCACAGAACACATGAAGACAGACTACACTTTACACTATGAATCTGTAAAGGCTTCACATGCTGGTTAATTTGTAATGTCCACTATGTGGTGCATTTGCTTTTTTTCACCTCTTTCCCCTTAAGGAGGAAAACCCGAGTCTTCTGAGTATCTTTTGCAGACCACGAAGTCCCTATAGTCACATACCACAGGGCTCTATGAAAAATCCTGACGCAACTACCCAAGTGGAATTCATTAGTTTTCCTATCATTGTGCAGTTTGCACGCACTAACAACAGAATTTTTTTTTTTTTACAGGCTTTATAGCCGTATTTCCTACAACCAGTTCTTCCAAGCATAATAGGCTCTCTTTATTTGGTGTGGTTTTTTAATTGTTTCAAAATTAAATCGCTAATTATAGCAAAGAATTATTACTATGACTTCATAATCAATCTAGGAGCTAGCCCTATAATGACCAGGACTCCAGAAGCTACTGTTATTCACAAGGTTTTTCACGTGAACAGATGTCACAGCAAATTGCAGTTTTAGATGCCTGGTGACCAGATTAGTTTTTAGTGAAATAATACACATCAGAACACCTAATAAATGTGTAAATTTACTTGGTTATTTCCACACGTCAATGGCATAAGGAGCCCAGCCTAATCTGTATGACTTTTATTTCAGTGGATAATTGAAAATTACCTCTTCTAGGCTTCTTAGTAAAAACAAACAGATAATTATACAGCCAATGTGTTGCAGGAAACCTTATGCAAATATCCCCGAATATTACTTTCATAGTCATATTTAAGATGCTATCTTCTCTTAAACCAGAAGCTCATCAATCACATTCTAATAAATGAATGTACGTTAGATTTTTAGGAATGTGTCTATCCCACATTTTTTTTAAAAAATGAATTAACAAGAAAAAAAACCCTTCACATAACATACAGAAATCTAAAAGAGCTTTTCAGTGCATGATACAGAAACATCAGCATGATATATCAAGTTTAAAAGTGGGGGTTTTTTTCATAAGATCAAAAATTTAAAAAGTAAACACCTTTTCCTTTCTGAGGTTTGCAACTAACTGTAAGCCTTCCTCCAGTCTGAATGCAAGTAAAGGCATTTGTACAAGCTAAAGCTACCAGAAAACAGGTAAACATACATTGGGACATTGAAAAACCTCTTGTTTCTCATTAGCATTTTCACATGCATACTACAATCCAGGAAAATATTTAAGAGCTCTAGATAGCTGCTATGCAGAGCAGATGTCCTAACAGTAGCAGCACAATGCCAGCTGTAATCAAGCTGAAGGGCTCACCTTTGAAAATTTCTCAATTTGGTATCCTGCCTCCATGATGAAAGTTGTTGTCATGTTGTATCCAGTTTGCTTTCCATGTCCATTTGGCCACCAAGCCTCCACTGTAGAACTCTTGAACGTACAAGACAGGGAGTTAGAGCAATGTGTATAAAAGAGGCATAATATGCACCTAGGGGCTCGGACATCTTTGAGTGAATTCCCACAAGTATAATGAGTTTCTGTGACTCAGCTGAACCATGGTAATTGGGATCCCTCCAGCTGCAGCTCTATGGTAAGAATTATTTAAAGAGATAAGTATGATTTCTTCTACAGAAGTCCAGGCTATTACTTCATCTTGTGTCCACAATGGGCCATGAGCACGTGTACACATGCATGCATATGTCTAGTTGCTACTCCTCAGCTGAGGTACACTGACAGAATATCCCTCCCAAACTCAAATATCTGAGTGCCAGTAATTCACTTTGTTCACTAGCCTCTGTATTATACTCCTCCTCTCATTGACCCTTCTACCTATCATACTCAATATTGAATACACAGAGGTGACACTTTTCAATTGTGACCTTGTTAATATGTGACCATACTGACTGCTTCATTTATGTCGAGCTTTTAAGTCAAATGGTAAGTTTCATTCTCTCTTTTCAGTGTTTTCTGCTTTTTCGCTATGCTTCCTAATCACTTCATAAGTACCCCATAATTTTTACAAACATAAAAACCTCCTACCTTTAGGATGACAGAATGCTTTAATTTTCTCATTTTTCTAGTCACAGAGTAATGTTTATATCTTCATTCCAGCAGCCTACTTCTGCTGCTCAGTCCTATTGCCAGCATTTGCCAGTTGAGTGCACAACACAGAGATCGTGGAAAGAAAGCAATAATGCATGCAACCAAACAATGGAGGGATCAGCGCTGAATAGGATCACATAAGGAGTGCCTCAATCTTTTCAAATAAAATGAGGCCAGAAAGCAGCCCAACAATATGTTTTGCTGTAGCCCTACTTGGACACAAACACAAATGTATCTACCAATGCTTCAGCTTGCCCAATACAGAATTACCATAACTGCTTGTGCAGAAGTACTAATCTCCGTGTTGCACGGATACAAATGGAAGCACAAAATCAGTGTGAGTCTCAACAAGGGAGCGTTCACAGCCGCCTGGCACAGCTGGAATGTCTCATTGGCCACTAATGATGTCATCCCCATGCTCACCATTAGCTGATAAGCAAAATGCTGTCATACTAGCAACACAGCACTCTGTGTGGCAATTGCAGGAAGACTGCTACGCATGTTGGGTTAGACACACCACTCAAACATCTACTGACTTCACAACATCATCTAAAATAAGCTCTCAACTAGAAATAAATTTCTGGTGAGGTCTCACTATTTAACGTGCACCGCACAAATCTGTTATACAGAGTAAGGGCTCTGTTACACTCATCAATACATAAGAACACATAGCATGGCCTTTTGCAAAATCAGCTGATGTGAATTCATGCAGCAAAGCCTTTTGTGTACAAAGAATAATAAAACACTGTTGCCTCTGCTCTGAAGGAAGTGCTTCCTCACAAACTTGCAGTCATACCCCACTAACAGATTTCTTCTGAGGTTGAGGGTGGGGCAATTAAAAAAACCCAAAATAAATGTTGAAGTGCCTGCTTAATGTAATCCCTGAAAAGGCTAAGCATAGACTAATGATTGTTTTAAATGAAACTGGGTATTTGTAATTGCTCATGCAACTTGCATGCCAGATGACAACAGTAACAAAAACCATATGTTTGTATGCTTTTACGCTTTCATGTCAAATCAAAACAAAGCATATATCTATGCAAGTCACTGAGGGTGCATACTAGAACGTAAATTCCCTGCTTGACTTTAGCACATGCTTTTTCTCCACTCAAAAACTGACAAGAGAACATGAGAATATATGCGTAATGCATTCGAACTGGGGAAACAAATGCAGAGTTACACAGCAACAGTGAAAATCAGTAGAGGCAGTAACATACACAAAGGTTTGAGGACCGACTCTCAAACATTATTAACTGCCAGAACTGTCAGAAGATCCAAATTCCTGTTGACAGCACATTGCTCACCCTTAGATCTAACTGTGCCCTGTGGCAGTGAAGCAGAAGGCAGTTCCGGTTACACTGCTGGCTCCACTGGAGAATATCAGCTGCGACTCCCACCCTGACCACTGGCCTGGGTCTGCAGCTCTCAGGTTCAGGTCTGCACAGTCAGCCCTACCAGGGCCCTGATCTCGGAGCAAGAAGCCAAGACAAAGCTCTTTTTGCCACGCTGGACTCACTGCCTAAATTCAAGACACCTACCTATTTGTCAGCTAGAACAGACACGCATATTTTCTTCATCTCTCAAGCCTCTATATCTTTTCCTATATTACACCTGTATGATAAAACTCAACAGTTTCTTAAAAAAAACCACAAACAAAACAAGTTCTACAGAAGTGAATAATATTGGTGAATTCAGTCTGCCAACAGATAGTTTTCCAACATGATCTGAAGGTAATCAGACCAATTCTTTCTTCTTTCATCACTGGGGTGTATAACCAATTTATTTTTCAATTGAGTTCTCTACATATTAGAGCATCCTTCACTGCCTTAAAATTCCTCCTGATTTCTGTCTGTCCAAGGGACTACAAGCCATCGTAAGCAAGTACTAGCCCACAAAATTTCCACCAACCTTATTGCCAGTCAAGTTCTTTATAGGGCTCTTTTGCTTTTATTTACCTGAATGAGTATCTACTGAGAGGTTTGAGGAACATATCCTCTCTTTCCTGGGGAGAGTACGGTATCCAAAGTTTACCTACCCAAGTAGCTCATTTAACAGTGGCCAGCAATGATGTTATCATTTTGTTCTGCAAGTAAGACAAAGGCTTCATCACCTTTTTGACACTGAGCTACGTAGCCCCACGGACATGAACTTTTAGAAAGAAAAAGAACTGTTCTCCTGTCCTGTAATGGGTACAGAAGTGTTGTTAAAGTCAGGAACACAGTAAGGAAGGGGAGGGAGACCTAAAACTGGCACAGAGGCAGGAAGACACATCGGAAACCAGAGGAAATATTTTGCAGTTGGCTTGGCTTCCACATACACCTCCTTACCTTGTTGATGTTTACAAGCAGCACAATGCTGCCTTCTCCAGGTTGAAGCTTCACACTGAATGTCTGCTGTGTTTGCAATTTGGGAATGTTCACAGTCGCAAGACCTGCAATTGGCTTGGAGATGACTACATCAAAAACAGACTCGATTTCAAGACTCCACTGCTGAGCACTCTTGACTAAGTGAAGAGCAAGAAAAATTGGGAATTTAGGAATTGTGTTTATATACCTATTAGTTAACATGATCTCTCATCAAAGAAACAATTCAAACACCTCAGATTAAATTTAACAATTTTCAGGTTGCATTTGAACTAGACCTACAAAGTTAATCTTCTTGGTTAGTCCATGTGATATCTCTGTTTACATTTTCTGATTCAGAAGAGAAATACATAATATGATTTACGTTTTATAACTCTGGCTTTTTTCATTCAAAAGCCATCCAGGTTTTTTTCAGAGTTCTGTACAAAAGTCAGAGACCATTACACCAGTCACTTCATTAGAAAGATTTTTTTTTTTCCCCACCAACTCCCATAGACATTATATTTGCTTTTAGTCAGCACTCGTATGAACATGGTACTCTTTGGGAAAGATCGTAATCACAAGGCAGTACAATCACTTTTGTGGATGAAACAAAAACAGTATTAACAGAAAACAAGCTGATTTCATCCCAGAGTCACTAGACAAAATGAATGGAGTTATGCTGGGGATGAATTGGGCCCACTGTGTCTAGACTTGACAGGCTGTATCTTTATGTCCCTTCTGCTATCATAGTGTGGTGGAGAAAACAAGTTAATGACTTCCCTGAGGTTGTTGTACAGTTACTTCAGGCGGTTCTCTCCTTTACAGAACTTACTGAGTAAGGCAAGCCAGGATCAAGGGTACTCAAGATTAATGTGTAAATTTCCCATTAACTTCAGCAATTAAATTATCTATCTACAAACACAGCCTGGCTAATCCTATACTGAGAGAAGGAGAGCTCCCTCCCAAAGCAAAGAATTACATTCAGTTCTGGTGTGATTTTCACTGGCATTTGTAGAATGAAGAGCAATGAATGTGTTCCCAAGTTCATATTACACCAAACATTACCCAGGGAAGATCAATTCTCAAAAATGCTGAAGGGGTTAAAAACCACCCAACCCACCCCACAGGGGTCAGCCATTACAGTGTGTTTTCCCTCCCCTCCAAGGGCATATAGAAATTCCAGCCCACTCCTTAACTGGGTGATGTACTGCGGGGTCTAGGCACAGAGATCAAGAACAACAGATCTTTTACAGACTCAGTGGTCAAAAGGTTATGGCACCAAACCTGATGAGCAATGTAACTCCATAGGCAGCTTAAATTCAAGTTGTTCATTTACTCTTTATTTTTCAAATGTTATTATGTTTGAAAACTAGTAAGCTTTGGCTCTGGTTCCAAACTACTCCGCTGAATGAAAGAGGTTTGGTCTCCCTGCTTATCCAGAGAGGAAGACTTTACCTACCAGAAGGTGGAGTTGTGGGAATGTGGGAGGGACCAGCAAAGATTTTTACTGTAACTAAATTTTAGAGAGCACACAGAGTCTGTGCTGGGGCTTTCCATGGAAATTCCAGTCACGTTAATTCTAGCTAAGACCTGCAGCTATTTCAGGAAGCTTTAAAAGCAGCCAGAGAGTGACGTCTTCCTCTTTTATTCATACTCAACAACTCTATTCCCAAGAGCTGAAATTCAACCCAGTGCAGAGGACTCACTTGCAGCCTTTACTCCACTGAAGACTGGGCTCAACAGGCAGTGAAAGCAAGCATGCGGGTGGTCTACAATGGGGCATGTTACCGTTTACAGAAAGTTTCAACAGAAAATGAACTACTTTTGCTGAGCTGCAGTGATCTTCAGGACAAAGGAGAGGAAAATCAAAGACCACATCAAGGAAGAAAACCGGTTAGGTAAGTTAGGTTAATGCAGGAGGCTATCCTCTCAAATTGCAGCCTTAAATTATCCTTGCATAGCACGACTGCTCTTCTCTCTCAGACTTCATGTTCTGTCCTGAAAACTCAGCGTTCTTGAAACTCTGTTCACTGTGCATTTGTCTTCCCAACACAAAACTAAATTCCCATAGCAGCTTTGCCTTTGATTTAAATGGAGTTGAGACAAAAGTGAGACATATTTATTGGGCGTCTTGGTGAAAACACATGCCAATAAAAAAGAAATTTTTCAGAACAGTATAGCTAATGTCAGCTGTACTATATATATTTCTGCTGTTTTTCAGGGATCTTCAAGCCAAAAAATACTCTGAATTCTAACATTTTAATCACTATTGTTTGAACTGCAGTACTGTTTCAAGACCTAAAATGGTGTGCTGTGGTAAGAACTACACACAAAGTCATAATAAAACAACAGAACCTTTCCTAAACTGACAGTTAATTGAGCTTAACAATAAAATGGTTTGTATTCCAAATGTGAAACAACAATAAAAAGTAGTAACACAACTTACCAAAGGAAGACGTCAAAGAAAAGTAAATCAGGTGATAATGGTTATAGGCCTCAAGCCTAACATCTTTCCAGATTCCCTGAGTGGGAAAAGAAGGGCCCCAGTCCCAACTAAATGAACATTGCTCCTGGAAAACAGAATGATTGTGTTACAGTTGACTATTTTTCACACAGACATTGATGCTGTGCCAGAAATAAAATTATTTTCTATCTAGAAATAAAATATCGCTATGCACTGAAAAAATATTTCCAATTTCCATAAACCCAGGAGACCCTACAGTATTTTTCTTATTTCTTGATCAGAACTCTGCTGCTACTACTTATATCATATTAAAGATACAATTTTGTATTAAACATCCATGTATAGAAATTTTTTTTATCAGAGAGAGAGCAAAACACCACTTAGCCCACCACTTTAAAAAAACAGAGAGTAAAGATCAAAAAAACAAGCAGCAGGTGACTCTCAATTCAGGTCTGAATTATCTTAGTTTGTAATGTCAGCATTTAATTGCATAGCTAAAACACTAAGTAAGCAGAAAACTGAGCGCTACAAATGTTAAAGTACTCTAAAAGAACAATACCAAATTAAAAATTGTGGGTATATCTGAAATACTTTAACCCCTATTTTTTGTTGTAACACCAAAGATTAGTATAAGGAAAGAGAAGCACACGCCTGGTGCATTTGTGTAGTTCAGTCATGTTCACTGTTTCTCCCTTCTTTGTGGTTCTCTCACACAAAAACAAAGGGAACAAATACATGGTTGAGAAATAGCTTAGTTCTGGTTCTAACATCAGAATAACTGTCAGAATTATAAAATGCTGGTCAGGCAGAGAAGTACCTACACTGCTTTCTATTTAGCTGTTTTCAAACCTGATCAAACCTCTAGTTAACAAATCCCTTGAAGACATCTATTCAGCTGCCCTCCAAGCTTCACACAGCCCTGGCCCGCAAAGAAAATACAACAGATCTCCTTAAACTCTTGTACAGTGACCTACAGTTCTAAATTTAGAGACTAACAACTTACAGCCGAGGCATACTAATTTTGGCAAACCACATTGCACAAGTCTGGCCTATCCCTTGCATTGCTGGAGTCCGCCTGCTTGCCTATCAGGTTGCAAAAGAGCCTTCCAGGAAGCAAGCACTGTACCTATTTCAAGTGTAAAAACAGGGACAACACATTCTTAGAAAACAAGTCAGACTGAAAGTAATTTTCCCTTTATAAAAAAACAAACGAATCACTGACAGATTGCTAGGTTTCACTAATAATACTGCAGAGACTGCTCTCAGAAATAGTATGTCAAAAGAACAATACGCTTGTATCACTGGCGTATGCTACCAGTTAAAGGCTTCACTCTATCACAAATTCCAGTTAAGATTTCGATAAGTTTACTGCATTCAAATGTGTAAACAGCTCTCCATTACCTTAAGATGGTAAGTGGTCAGCTTACTTTAGCAATGTCCTCATATGTTTGTTTACTTCTGAATGTGACACCGCTGCTGTTGTAGCCCTATACTTGGAACTAAAAATGTTTCTGGAAATGTCTGGAGCGGCTTCCAAGTACAGTCAAACAACTCCTTTGAGGAAAAGCACTAGGGTACTTTCTTACAAATTTAAAGGAATAGTTCAGTAAAGCACAAAATAATTTCTGCTCTATAAATAAGATTACAGCTGTTTAAGTGCCTTCTTCCTTTCAAGCTCCTCCCTGCACTGATTTCTAAGAAACAGTAGACTCAGAAGAATTAATCAACTTTCTAAACTGTAGTGAAAATAAAAGCAGCAGCAAGTAGTAAGAAAGACAGCATCTTAATCCTTAAGTATCTTGCCAGGACAACATGAAGTCCACCTTTCCATTAACAAATTTTAAGGGAAATTACATCCAGGTTTAGATTAACAGGATTCTAGTATTTTGGGTTAGTTGTTTTTTTTGAGGAGATGGCTCTAAAAAGACTTTATTAAAAAGATCAGAAATAATTAACAAGAAAGGCATTTAAGTGGACACAAACATGCAAAAACACCCAAAAAGAGAAATTTCAAAATAAGATCACCTAGACATTGTCTCTAGCTGCTGCAAAGCTATCAGAAATGCATGAGATGCTACTCAAATGACAGTTTGCCTTGAGTATGTTTTAACAGCAATGAAGTCATGTCTTAAATCAGAGTTTCTGAGCTTCATTATTACATCGTTGTTTTCAGTGAAAATGTACACAGTCAAACTTCACACCACCACAGTAAGATGAGAACAGGTCCCCTGCTAGATAACGCTTCTTGGGACATGCTAGAGCTGCCCAGTATAAATAGCACAGCACATGAGCAATAGCAAACACTCACCAAGATGCTTGGCTGAGATTTTTACAGCCTTGGCAATATACACTGGTATATGGGACCATGAACTCTATTGTCAGCATACACTGCTAAACCCACCCAGTGGATCAAAATGTAATGATTACACATTTCCCAATGCTATCCTGCTCACTTAGCGGCAAGTCTCCTTGCTGACTCCTTGATGAAAACAGCTTTTTAAACATTCTTATCACCCAGATATGAAGCCTGGCCTTCTTATGCCTCTTGTATTATTGACATGCTAGATTACAGGTTTCTTGGCAGGAGACAGGAGAAGGAAGCTGCAACAAAAAATATGCCCTACTTATAAAATGACACTGCAGGTTTCAGAATACAACTGTAAGGACAGAATGTGGTGCATTCCTCTTTCCAAGCCTGAAGCCAGAGACAGACAATTCTGCCCCTACCTTTCTGATGAAATTAGCGTGGCACTCTCCTTTCTGCACAGGTGGAGGGCACGCCGGGGGGACACTGTATGCTTTGTGACATCTGCTCTGCTCTGCTGCATATGAAACGGCTGACAAGAAGCGGACTTCGACAAAATTGACCTCCTTGATCACACCAGTGATATCAAAGCTCTAGGTCAAGAAAACAGAAAAAAATAATTACAGTACTGGTATTTTTAATGAGATTTATAATCACCATTATATTGGGATTTCAATACCATACATATATTATTCAAAGGCATTTGAACTACAGTCTCAACAGGCTCTGGTTTTGACGGAAAAGAAAAGCTGCTACTTAAGCTGAAAAAAGAAAATAGGCAGTAACATTCTAGATAAAAGGAGATGTTTCTGGGAAAACCACTTTCCACATACTGAGTCCTGGTTGCACACAGAAGCACCTGAAGGATAAGGATGGCAAAAGAATCTTTACCCTCCTTCCTCACGCAAAACTCATCTGCACCTTTCGAAAGACACCTTGTTCCAACTCAGAAAGCTGGTCTGTACAGAAGTCCTTCCAACTCATGCTGTGCTGCCAGCTTACCTACCACAAGGCACTGAGCTGCCTTTTGTGTGAATGCTGCAAAGCTGGATTTCATGCCACCTGCACTCTCATCCCCACAATGTACAGATACGCATTCTATGCCAGCACCAAATAAAGTATTTGAGGGCTTCCTCACTGGGTCACAAAATCCCCTTCAGGCTGGACAGAAGGATAAATGTTTGGTTTCAGAACTATCCCATGCTATCAAGATAATATGGTTCCAATGGCTAATGCCCATTTCTTCTGCACAGTGCTCATTTGTGACAAGCTAAGTCTCAGCAATTTTTTCCAACTTGTGAACAGCCTGGCTAGCATCATGTACGTCTGCAGCATACAACAGAAAATTACAAAGGAAATAGCATAACCCGTAGAGAGCCTTCAGAGAGTGCTTCCTGCAGACGTAATTATCATGTGGAACAGGTGAGCAAAGCAGAAGTCTGGGTCACAGTAATCCTAGATTCAATTTAATACAGTTCACTCTGGGTTTACAGTGAAGGCCATTTCATGAACTGTTATAATCTGAGACAGAATGAAGTTGCAGTAATAAGGGCAAAATAATATCTCTTCAATTCTACAGAGCCTGCTACTGGCAATCCTTTAGATACTCTCCAAATAGTAAATAATTACAATTTCATAACAGCTCTATGAAATGTCTTATTTCACAGATGGTAAAAATAAGTCAGAGAGAAATTAAGTGAACTGTCTCAGGTCACACAGACCCAGGTGGCTGAATCTAGCTCTCATGTCTCAGGCCAGTACCTCTGCAATAAAACCTGCCAGAATGGTAAACACCGAGATACGAATACACCAGATTTTCTTCGTAATTCAGTGATTCCACTAATGTTCTTCCTTTAGCTTCTCCTTTTTTTGATTCTTTTAAGTGAAAAACAAGGATTGTCCCTTATGCTAGTACCTAGAAAAAGTTTATCATTTAAAGCTATAAAATCAGTTTAAATGTTTTTACCACTCTCAAGATCATTCCATGATAAGTACTCTCATGCTGACATAGGTTAAGCCCCAAAATGCAAAACAATGTTATCAAAAGCCCAATATTAACAATCAAAACCTCTATATTATAAAAAAGCAACCATGGAAACACTTACAAAGGCTTAGCAACACATGCATTTTCATTTCAGTATTCACATGTAAACCATTCTAATACCAATTAGTAAGCAGATTTACAGCTAATGTAACAGATTTAAGCTTATGTTTTCTTGGAGTTGCAACAGATCCCAAGAAGAAAGACTTATATTATTAGCTGAACTGATCCTCTTGATGGGTTCACTCACTTAGAACAAGACACAGTCACCTCTAGATCTGACCCTGTTGCTATTGAAAAGGTAAGTGCAGTTCTAACAGTTATCTGATTACACATGCAGTCTTCAGGTCAACACTTTCTGTATCCAAGCACCTCTTTTTATGTGTACTTAAATGCTTCAATGTACTTCAAAAGGGCTTTGAAGAAAAATCAGAAGCACCTTCAGAAATAAACACAGTACTTACATATCTGTTGAACATGTTGTCTGTTCTCCCAAGAGTGAGATTGTTGATCAGGATCTGTGCTACTGTATCTACTCCCTCGAAAACCAAATTCACTTTCTGCCACTTTCTTCAGAAAATAAAATACATATAAAAAGCTGTCAGAATATGTAGAGTTAACAACACACAGGTGACAGACAAGATAAAAATGTATGTCACCATTATCTTTAGCAGCAGTTGTCTCAACTAGCTCCAAAAATGCTTGACTTACTGTGGTTACATTATACCTTTAAATAGTCAAATTAAGATGTCAGTTGAAGTGGCTCAAGTCTGCCACACATGTTCAGGTACCCACCAGGTACCCACCCACCAGGTGGGCCAGCTTCCAATTAGCCCAAGTATTATCCTTCCTTAGTTGGCAATTCATAACTAGCCTTTAACGATTAAAAAAAAGGCAAAAGCAACTACTGAAGTGTTCTTTAGCAACAGCTTTGCAGCTGCACACCACTGCATAATTTGTTTTAATAGATACAAAAGTATTAAGCAGATTTTGAGCGGATGGATTAACTCACAATTCTGCATGAAAGATGGCACAGAACTATTCCATACATATCTTTACTGCATACCTGATGTCAAAAGGAGCTTTGAATGTCCTGCTGTAAGTCCAGTTTTCCAGTGAGATCCATCTGTACATCACATCATTAAATCTATAGTATGGATCCTAGTAACAGGCCAACAAAAGGAAAATTACAAGACTTATTTAGTAAGAGTGTTACTACATGAAATGCATCATAATATCCATTAGATGAGCACTTCTTATTTCAGACAGTCTGCAAATGCAAAATCCACCTTAGTTACTTAGTCCTGATACTTCTTTTCACTTTTGAAATAATATGTGAAAGCAAAGCTTTGGTAATGTTTGACTTCACTTATATAGGTCAAAACCTGTTTCCTATAATCACTCATACTAAACTAGAGGGAGCAGGATTTGTTTTTACATAAGAAATGACTGGGCTGGAAATCTAACAAAAAAAAAAATCAAGACAGCTTGTGACTTAATGAAAGGAACAGAAACATGATTACCCTCATAATGATGGAGAAAGTAAGACTAATAGGATTTCAGGAGGCAAAGAAACAGCCTTTTAGGCCTCTAGGGACAGCGATGAACAAATCTCTCCAGTTTAAAATAATTGCAAATACTCCAGTTGTTTCTTGTCAACTAGTCTTGATGTGGTAAGGCTGAATGAAACTGTAGTATTTGAAGGGAGGGAGAAAGAGAAGAAGCAACACGGTTTGTTTTATAAAATTAAATTACTATTTTTGAGAATAATGCTGCATTTATACCAAACGTGTTCTTTTCCCGTTAGTCACACTACCCAGGAAAAGTAAAAGGCACAGTTGGTCTAAACTACGTCCTCAACCTTTTTTGCTTCGTGCTGTATTTATTACATTATGCTGGGTCACAATGTCCCTCATCCAGGCTGAAGGAATCAGTTATGTGGACGTGACAAGCCATGCCTTGCAACTCATACAAAAGCGGTGGAGCGATACTGCACAGTGAATTGCTTTCCCAAAACAAAGACCAATCTTTTCTGGACTACACGACTCAAACCCAGGTAAACGAGAGCACAGCTGCAGTACGGTTCCCTTTGATTCGAGTGTTCTACAGCACCAGCACATCAACTGTCTGCTCTCAACAGCCAGATTCACACTGAAGAAAACCTGCCCAGCTTTTTTTTTCTTCGTGCTGAAGCTCAATTTTTCTCACCACTTCAGGAGTCAGTAAGGGCACTAAGGACACTTCTGGATTTGAAATCATCTGGAAAACATTGTTTCGTATCTCATAATTATTTTACAAGCAACAGGGTCAGGTGCTGTAGTAGAAACATAAACCTGTTTACATAGCAGACCAAGATCCTAACATTGAAGTGACTCTCCTCAGCAGCAAAATCTCTTCTGGAGTCCCACGGCAATACAAATATCATGTCTTGAGCCAGTACAAAGGGAAAGCTGTTGCCTTGCCTCTCTCTATATGTTATGCTCTATCTATCAAACTTCTTACTGCAAGGGAATAAGAGTCAAGAAGGAAAAGTCTCGTCATCTCAGTAAAACTGTGACCTCTGTACTGGTAATACAGTGTATTCTCTAACAGTTAAGTCACCGTGAGCTTACCAGAACAATTACTGAATTTTGAGATATTCATACCATTACTTTTATGTGCAAATGTTATGGAGAATATATCTCAGACTTTTATTAAGATGCAAAATTTAAGGCTAATGAATACCTATTAAAATGCAAAATTTAGGCTCATAAAAGAAACTCCATTAAGATTACTGTATTGAGACACCAAAAGGCAAGCGTCAAATGTCAGAGACCATGAAAAATCACAATATGTCCTTTAAAAGCACATTTTTAACAACTGTCTTTCTTTAACATTATATACTGTTTTTTTAAAGGCTAAATTTCAAATTTCAATCATTGCCACTTGCATGTGTGATCTATTTAACAAAAGGTGTAATATGCAAGTTGTAAATGCACTATCAGCTGCAGACTGTAAAGCCCAAACCAATTTGGTTAGTGGTCAAACAACCAACATCAATGCCTTATCAAAGATCAAGAACTTGAGTGAAAGAAATCTGCACTTTTTCTCCCACCAAAGCATGCATCCTGAGATGTTAATGAAGAAGGACGTGACATCTGGAGAACACAAAACTGGTTGTCTAGCAGCAGAGAGAAATGTAGGAATAGTTCATCAGAGGCAGAAATTACATCATGAGATGGGCTCTTACAGCAGTTTACAAACAGCTGCTGGTCTAAATCTCCTCAGACTGAACTGCAGATCCTTTTTCCTGAAGGGGCTTTCTTCTTCTGTATTACTCTAAAGCCTTCAAACTTCAAGAAATGCACTGACTGCTAAAATATGTGTCATAGAAGGTGCTAATTAGCCCCTTCTGACTCCTATGAATACTTTTCCTCACAGGCATCCACTTTCCTAGCAGAGAAGCTCCTAGTTCTTTGTACCTTTATATAAAACTTAACAGCTTACTGATATCAGTGCTCCATAACTAGTAAAACAGCTTATATATCACACAGAAAAGCTGTCAAATGCTAATACTGGTTAGTCATTTTAAGCATGACAAATGTTGCTTGTAAAATCAGTCATGTGGTAATGTTCAAGCAATGCTTTTAAGGCAATTCTGAATGTTCAGAAAAAATGCATGTCCACAACAAAGTCCTGTAAGAAAGGAAAATGACTTCTCCAATACACTTGTGAAATTATTGACTCTTTCACTATTAAATGCAACTGTTTTGAATGCTGGGAGATGTACCTATAGAAGTCAAATTGTTTGGATTTACCTGAAACAGAATTTCATCCCACGTTAAATCAGTTCACATTAAAATTAAAGGTTTATTTCAGAAAATTGGATTTAAAAAAAAAGACATTTAAAACTCTTAAGAGTACTGGGAGAATTTGAAAGATGGTAGGAAATAGACTGCACATGTATTAAATATACCTCACATTCATTAGCTCAACGTGTTCCTGGAAGCAAGTCATAGAGGGGTGGAGACATCCACAGCTATTTTTGGATCCCACTAAACATGACAGCCTTGCATTTTCCTGCTCCCTGCAATTTGGGGACGAAGTCGGAACCACTCAGGCTCCCTGCCTGTTTCTTCTCTGCTCCCAATTTCAATGCTGTAAGCAAGCAGCAAATCACTTGCTAAGATAAGGTAAAAAGCCCTGCTGCAGAGCATCAAAAGGAAGCAATTTCCAGTGGGGATAACCGGCCATCAGCAGGACTTCAAAAGCACTGGCAGCACTAAACGGAAGGCACTGCCAAGCGGCTAGATGGGAGCTCCTCCTTTCAATGATTTTAAGGGGGCATTGAAAAGCTTCAGTCGTATAAGCTAAGAGCTCCTCCTGTCACGCAGGAAATGAATGAGACATGAACACGCCGTAAGTGAGGCTCAAAGCCCAAACGAGCCGGTTGTGCCAGGCACACCCTGGCTCCATGAAGGGCCAACATCAGGCCCCCGCGCAACCAGGAGAGCGCAGCGCAAACACCTGAATGACCCTAGAGAGAGCCAGCCCGATCCAGGAAGATGAGCACATAATAAAAAGGGATGTAATAAAGGGAAGAAAAAACAGATTCCTTTGCCTAATCCTACTTCTGTTTCGATCTAATTTGAAATTGCCTTGCATGCTCTTCTGTCATAAATCAACTCCGCTGATATTTCACAAGTACACCATAAGAAAGCCCTGCTGACAACCAAAATAAGACTTTGCAGGTGATGTTTCATGTTTCGCATTTTAATGATTTTGCTTTTTGCCAACCTTGGACTGGAAGCTAAATAGTTAAGAAACTCAGCTATAGCCACACTCTCCTTGATATCTAAAGCAATAGCAGTCAGGACATCCACACAATTTTCAACCAGCTCAGTTTCACATATTTACAACTTGAAGTCAAGCTGAACTAACACTAGTGATGAATGGATCGTATTCCTGGAATGTGAGTTTTGAAAGCTCATCCTAAAAGGATTCATTTTCAGTAGTTACTCTAACAAAGCAGTAAACTGAACATCACCTTATGTTCAAGATGTGTTACTGCTGAACACTGAGCCAAATACTACTGAAGGGTCAATCAACAAGACATTAATACCCATTGCTTATTTTTATTTGAATACTCTGCTGTATTTAAAAGGCTACTGTAACTTTATCCATTTTAACTTCATCAACTTTTGAAATATAAACTTGAGTGCTCTTTAATATTGATCCTAAGTTTCACTAAGGCTTTTGAACACTTCCACATATGTTCACACAACTCAGCAGAGTACGTATGTTTTAATGGAAAATAATATGTTTGTATTAATCAACTATTTCATCAACGAATGCCATTTAACCTGTTAGAGCCATACGATACCCAATGCAATTGTACCTGGCTTGTTCTGAAAAATCTAGGGTACAATGAAGTGTCAGAAAATACACAACAGCATGTTTTATACAAATGCAGAACAAGATACCAAAAATACACACTACTTTACAGAACTGCAGAAATATCACTTGAGATACATAGGCTTTTCTAATATATTTTATTATCCAAGTATGACCAAGACCACTGTAACCTTCTGTGTCAAGTGCATCCCCTTGACATGTAAGGGGGCAGGAAGTGCAGTGTTATCCAGCCCCTATATTAGCATCACAGTTGCAGACCCCTTATAACAGATCTTTACAAATCAACGTGATAGCAAATAAGACAAAACAGCCTTTATGTATGAATGCAAATGGCTGGCAGATGAGAAAATCCAGCTACAATACCCATATTCATCAGAACTGAAATTTTATAGGAGTCACCTGCCAGCAGCAATGGCATCACGCAGTACTTGGACTGGAGGATCATGCTGGAGGACGACTATTTCTAGCACAAAGATTCAATGCACAAGGTACCTCCTGATACATCTTGCTTATCAGAACGGTGCCTGAAAGAAAATATTGCCCTGACAGTAGTTAAAAACTGAATCTTCAGACAAAATGGATTCTGCAAATGGTATTTTTTTACAGAGAGGTAGGATTAACAATAGATTTGCATCAAGTTTGAAAATGTCTGTATTTCTGCCCAAGCTTTGCACTAACTTTATTCAGGTGACTGTTACCCTTGTTCATGTGTATTTCTCATGTCTTTTTTAAATCTTACATGTAAATAGGAGAGCTACAAAGTCCTA